GTTCCTTAGAGATCGTAGCTCTGAAAACGAGCTGCAATACAAGAGGTACAGAAATACTTTAAGACTGACCATGCGTCATGCAAAGAAGCAATACTTTCAAAAGCAGTTCCATAAGAACAAACTTAATCCTAGGCTGTTATGGAAAGATTTACTTCTGGCTACTCAAAAATGTAAAAACAAAGCTACTCCGGCAGCAAGGTTTCTTCTTGATGATTGTGCTACCACTGATCCGCAATTAATAGCTGAGTCATTCAATGACTATTACAGTAAGGTTGCACCTAATCTTGATGCTGCCCTTGGTCCCAGTGATGTTGATCCCCTTGACTATATGGATAATTTTATTACTGATGAGCTGATGTCATTCAGTCCTGTCACTGAAGATGAAGTTATGTCCATTGTCCTAAATTTGAAGGAAACTGGAGCTGGTATTGATGGCCTTAGTGCCAAATTATTGAAGAAGATTGTATCCCATATCATTTTGCAGCTGACACATCTGATAAATCTATGTATCTCAAGCCTGACATTCCCTGCTCCTCTGAAGATTGCAGTTATCACGCCAGTCTACAAGAACGGATCCAGATCTCTGTTTAGTAGTTACAGACCCATTTCAGTACTACCTGTTATTTCAAAAGTTTTTGAGATTATTATGTATAACCAGCTCACGTCGTTTCTTGTCAGGCATAATATTATTTATGATTATCAATTTGGCTTCAGATCCAACCATTCTACATACATGCCTATTTCAATTTTGCACCAGTTTATCACTGACAATCTCATTTCCAACAATAAGACTGTTGGTGTGTACCTTGACCTTGCTCGTGCCTTTGACACGGTTAACTTCGATATATTACTGAGAAAGCTAAAAAGATATGCCATATCTGACAATGCCGTTAGTATGATTTCTTCCTATCTGTCTGATAGAAGCCATCGAGTCAAGTTTGACCATGCCCTCTCTAGTGCAAGACAGCTATTGTGCGGAGTCCCGCAAGGTTCTGTTTTAGGACCTGTCCTATTTCTACTTTATATTAATGATCTTTATCAAGTTTGCCCCATCGCCAAATTTTTGCTCTTTGCAGATGATACGGCGGTCTTTTATTCCGCGCCGTCCAAACCTGAATTGCAAGATATGATAAACCAATCGTTTCCTAGGATTACTTCATGGCTGCATGCTAACAGGCTCTCTCTATCGATTCAGAAGACTGCATATCAGGTTTACTCTAATGACGATGCAGACATTAACATATGTATCCCTGTTTCAAAAGGCGAAATAACGCATGCCAGCACAGTAAAATACTTGGGAGTACTCATAGACGAAAATCTCAAATTTAAATCCCACATTAGCAAAGTGACAGGTATAGTTAGTCGTCAGACTGGTATCATTGGCAGAGCCAGATACCTGCTTAATAAAGAATTATCAACACTGCTTTACAACTCACTTATCCAACCTTATCTTACCTACTGCGCATGTATTTGGGGCTCTAATTATCGTACGTCTCTTCAACCAATCATCGTTGCGCAGAAACGTGCTATCCGCATTGTAGCTGGGGTTTCCCCCGGAACACATAGCTCCCCTCTCTTCAAAGAGCTCAAGCTGCTTAAGTTTGATGATCTAGTTAAATACCAACTCCTCTGCATCCTTCATGACTACCTTCGTGGGAAGCTTCCAAATATCATGGCCACTAAATTCATTTTAAGTAACCCATTGCGTGAAACACGTAGTAATCAACATTTCTCTGGGCAAGTGCTATCGCTGTCAGGTCGTGTTATACCCAACCACAGATTGCGTAATTACTATCAGTTTACTCTATTTGCCAGAGCTCCGGGAATCTGGAATAATATCATTGCTAGTAAAATACCCGACATTCATGATGTTCCATTGAGTAAGTCACTTTTCAAGAAAGTTACGAAGTTAATTTTCTTTGACCAATATTAACAACTAATTAAGTTACTTTTAAGTCATCCACCAGGCTCGTTCACACAATTTACGTTATTCATCTTAACTTTGCGTTTGTGGGCAGGGCCTCAGGAATCGTTGCAGCCCTATACCCTGTCCACAGCGCCTGATTTCATTGAACTTGGTTTACTTCACTTCTTTCTGTCAGAGTGGTCACTCGGTCTCACTTTCTATTGTAACATCCTATCTCGCCTTCTGCCTCGGCCGATGTCATGACTTGCGTTAATCACACACATCCCCGTTCTCCAGACTCCACCAGCCCGCGGCGTTGACAGCTAGTTGCACCGCCCATCATCGGCACTCCAACCGGCGACCTGATGTGGCCGGGTCTCCGCCGCTGCGGCGCTGGCGCCCCGGTGACTGTTCCGCTGCGGCGCTGGCGATCCGGGAGTCCCGCTGCGGCGCCGGCAGTCCGGGAGTGCACCACTGCAGCACTGACAGCCCGTGATGCTGAGCCACTGCATCGCCTGCAGCGCGGGCAGCGCGGGCGTTGTACCACTGCAGGTACTGCAGCACCGGCGGCGGCGCCGTCAACGCGAGGGTTGCACCACTGCATAACCAGCAGCCCGCCAACTGTATCACTGCAGTATCGTCAGCCGTGGGGCTGAACCGCCGCAACACCGACTGCCTGAAGGATCCATCGCCGCTGCGCTGGCGGCCCGAAGGCTGTACCGTCGTGTCACCGTCAGCTCGAGGGCTGTGCCGCTGGGGCGCCGGTCGCTGTGCCGCCGTGGCGCTGTCGGTTGTTTGCTGCGCCGCCGCGGCGCCCTCGTCTGGGGGGCTGTGCCGCCGCGGCGCCGGGGGCCTGATGGCTGTACTGTCGCGGCCCCGGGGTCCGGGGGCTGTGCCGTTGCTTCACCGTCAGCCTGGGGGCTGTACTGCTGGGGCGCCGGCGACCCGGCGGCCACGCTGCCGGAGTACCATCGGCTGTAGGCTGCGCCGCCCCGCGACACAATCATCCGAGGGCTGCGCCGCCGTGGCGCCGGCGGCCTGATGGCTTTACCGCCGTGGCGCCGACGGCCGGGCGGCTGTGCCGCCGGTCGGCGCTACGGCATGCTGGCGCCATCTACCGCCACCTACGACGGCGCCGCGACCGTTTAATCGACGGCGCGCACGCTGGCTGGAGGTCAGCGGTACCCGTCCGAGGAGGGGCAATGCTGGCCGTTTTTCACTCTGACTTTTTGTTGTTAATGATGGCGTCACCTCCTTTACCAACCTTCACTAACAACTAACTGTCTTCTCTCTAACATTACTAATCCATCTGAGCTCCTGTATCCTTGCCAGCCGGTGGCGCCATCTATCTATTCACTATGGTTTTGTTCGTTGACTCTAACTACATACCTTATTTGCCTATTTTTTTTCTGTATTGATTAATAAACCGCCGGTGGAAACCGGAAGAGAGAGAGCAACTTACTGAGGTAGTTAACAAAGAGAACTCGTTACTGCATTTTGAATGATTGTTTCATTGTCTCATTAGAGGCATTTAACAGGAGCAGCCGCAAAGTAGTACCATGGTTTTACGGCTGCCTAACAGCGGGTCAGGTCTGTATGGGAGAGGGTCCAGCAGCGACTCTGAAAGGACAAGCGCTTGGAGCTTGGGAGCTGTCCACTCGCATATTGGAAAAGGTCTAGACACAGATGCGCTTTGCAGTCCGTGTGCACTGAAACGGTATACATCATCATCATCTTTATGATAAAAATGATGATGAGGCATAAGTTTTCAGTAAAGACTTTATCAGCATTATAGTCATCAATGTTGATGCAGTCATCATCAAAATTATATAAAGTATGGGACAGGCAGGACCACCAAGGACTGATCCTATTTGTGACGAAGATAGCAAACTTAAGTGGATTTGTCTGAATATAAGTATAACCCGGCGTGGGGTCTGTTAGTGAAACCGTTGAATTCCATGTATCACCGCCGTATCGCTCTCAGTCTCCGAAGCGGCGTGCTGGAGGGACGCTGGCCGGTCTAGGCCCGGTGCAGAATTAGGGGCCGCGCACGACCGAATGGTAATTGAGCGATTTACATGGTGTTCGCTCGCGCCACAAGGAGCCGAGTGGAGACGGATGGCCGCGCCGGGGCCCCGTAACATGTCGGTACAACATACCTACACCGCCGCCACCGGACGGGGAGGCTCGCCAGAGCGGCGGCGGCGGGCGGCCGGCCAATGGAATAACGGTCTGGATGTATTGCCAAGTGATGCAGCCAGGTCCCCAAAGATGCAGGGCTTGTTGGAAGAGTTGACAGTTGGCATGTCTAAACACATTGCACTCGTTTGGTGTTTTGTTCTTCGGTGATTTAGGAACTTTACGGATGTTTTATTTTATCCATTTGTGACAGCTGCTGAATGCTACAGGGTTGTTGAAATCCCCACCGTGTTGTCCGCCCCAGTTCCGGTGCTAATTTTCCCTTGCGCCCCGCCATGTGTCCTGCCGAGTCGCGCAATCCGCCCGTCAACACCTCAGTCAGACCAGCAGAAACAGCGACAAATGGTCCTCCTCCCCTCCCCCAGCGCCCCTCTGTTCGCTCAGCGTCGGCCGTCTTATCCCCCCGCCCATCTAAAGACCATCGTGAATGAGATCAACCCCCTACACGTGCTAACACCCCCCCCCCCCCCGCCGTCCAACAGCTATCTCCCGACACCTTCGACCGCAAAGCCACGACAGACGCCGCATTTTTGGGCACTTTTCGCTCATAAGCGGCGCGAAATTCCTGCCGTTTACGTCAGAGGGACGCGCGTCACCCCTAATCGGACGCGATGAGCGGCCCATGGAGCTCTCCTCGGCTCTGGCCAGGCTAATTCCCGTTCGGCAAACTGTCCGGCCAACCACACAATTTTTCCGCATGGGGAGCGGCCAACGCGCGGGTCGGGCCCGTCCGCCATGGCGGCGGCCGGCCAGCGGGAGGGCAGGCCGCCGCCGTCGAGCGCGCTGATTGGCTGCCGTCCGCCGAGGACCCGCCCCTTCCCGGTCGGCTCGGTGGCGGCGGGTCGGGTGGCGAGCCGGGCCAGTTTCGAGCCGACCTGCGCCGTGGCGGTGGTGCTGTGTGAGCAGAGACCGTGTGCCGGTGAGCGGCGGGCCGAGCGGGCAGACCGTGCTGTGACCTGGGGGAGCTCCGGGCAGCGACCGTGGACGGCGGGGCGGCGCGCGCGGCCGCGGGCGCCGCCGGCGGGCCCAGCGGGGCGGCGGCGGCCGCCGGCGAGCTGTCGGCGGCGGCGGCGCCCGACATGGCGGCCTACTCGCAGTTCAGCTACCAGTACGGCGCGTCAGCCTCACAGGTGAGATCCGGTTCATACCGGCACAAATCGCAGCTACAGGTCACCCCAGCGCAGCGCACTGCTCTGGGATACTAACTACGAAACAACACACAACAGTTGCAAAGCAGATGTGAACTCGTGGAACCAATTCTTAACACCGCATAGATTATAAAAATTAGAAACGTCGATAGGCAAAAATTCGCTCTATATTAAACGTCTGTTTTTCAAACCAAGCAACAAACACGCGAGCAAAACGTCCCGACACTCGCGTCGCTCCTTCTCGTCTCACCACTGCCACATAGTGGAAGCGCCATGCTGATCACCCGATCAACTTCCCACAGCTGTGTGTGTCGCTCGGCGTACAAGGACAGTGACAAAGAAAAAAAAAACAGTTTTCGAACATGGTGGGTCGACCTCCGTGTAGCTGTGCTTTGTGAAACCTGTTTGGGGGACAAAGCGCTGAACTCAAATAAGTTATGCAAAGACACGCCACAATGACAAGGCATCTTCACAAATGACAATATAGTGACAGGCTGTACTTAGGGCTTGGTGGCAGCTATGGTAGCTTCTTACCAGCCTCGTACAAATATTTCAATATAGGAAACACGAAGTGAGACCAATACCTAATTAGGCACTGGAATCCAAAGCAAAGTATAATACAGTGGCGGATCCAGGGGGGGGGGGCAAAATGGGCATTTGCCCCCCCCCCCCCCAACGGCATAATTTTAACATTACGCCTATGGACGATGCATGGAAAGAATCGATAAATTGTTATGGTTTGCTCCCCCCCCCCAAACCTCTGAGCTGGATCCGCCTCTGGTATAATAAACCTTTTTCTTGATGTATACATGCTCTGTTCTGGCACACAACACGTTTAAACCTCGGAGAGGCGTTAAACCTCGATTTTACTTGATTTTACTTGATAGATAAATAGTTATTAGTTATTGTGAGCACCAGTGATGCGGCGGAAGGGCACTGCGAGCACCAGTGTAATATGAAAAGAAAGTGTAAGCAAAGCTTACGATGGAGAGGGACTGAGGCCTCAGAATGCCAGGGAACGATGCGAAGGGACTGAAAGTACCAGCAATGCAATGGATAGGACTAAGAGCACACACCAGTAATCCGATGGATAGTCGACGACAGCGCTGGTCACGATTCGTTCACAGGCCAGGTCAGCGAGGGTTAAATGACAAGTAACCGTGGCCGTCCGTGTGCCCCATCTGTGATTGAGACAGCGAAGTGTTCATGTGCAAATGCAAACGCGTATGAAGATTTGAAAATGCGATAAAACACAGATAAGAAGCATATTAACCCGCGCCCCGCTGGGGGGGGGGCAGAATCTGCCCCCCTCCCGTTTTTCGCCAATAACTTCTAAACGCGTTGCGCCAGCGACGTCAAACTTTCAGTACCTTATCATACATCAATTTGACACCTTCCCTGAAAATTTGAGCGAAATCTGTCGGAAAATTTTTGAGAAATTGACGTTTTTGTGACGTCATGTTCGCCATTTTCGTCTCAAAAACGGCAAAATTTCAAACGCCGCTAACATCTTCATTTTTAAAGGAAACAAGACGTAACAAAAAAGGTTATACGTGATTCTACTTTGTCTATCAAATGGCTATCTCGGTTTTTTGAAAATTTTGGATTTTGGCCCAATTTAAAAAAAACTGACTTTTTTGGGAAAATTATTATAAAATCCAAAATTTTGAGTGTATCGAAAAACCGGAATATATGTCAGAGAAGTAGTCAATGTGCACCTATATACCAATTTTTAGAAGAATCGGTTAAAAAATGTGGGAGTTATTCAAAATTTTATGACGTCACGACACACAAAAAGTTTGAAAAATGATTTTTTTGGAAGTTCTAGACCTCGTACGGAAACAAAAATAGCACCATTCGATTCGCCGTGAAAAACTGCATCAGATAGACACCTTTTTAGGCCTTAACAACCAACTTCAAAATTTGACCTCACTTGACCTGACCTTGACCTGACCTCGACCTGAAATTCATCCAGAGGTGGTCCATATCACTTATTGAGTGTGCCTATTGAATTCTATGAGTAAAATGACCCATAAAACATGTGTCGCACATGCCCTTTTCTATATTTTGTTTTTGGTGACCTGACCTGACCTGACCTGACCTTGACCTTGACCTTTGAATGACATTGTATGCAACGAATATTGTCTTGGTAGTCTAAGAACACGTTTTGGGCAATCAGTCTCAGTCCATTCTCCGGCAACTACGGTGCAAGGCCGATACTGTAGAAACTTACATTTTGTACCCTTGACCTGACCTTGACCTGACCTCTGACCTACTTAAGCAAAAAATTTGGGCTCTTTAGATCCGCCTTGTTGAGAGCTTTCGATTGCCGTTTTCCCCGTCTTTCTACGACCATCGGTTCGGAAGTTAGACAGGGGGGGGCAGAATCTGCCCCTCCCCCCCCCCCCCCCCCCAGCAGGGCGCGTATGGCTGAATAGCCCAGCGGGGCGCGGGTTAACGCCGTAGCTGTTATTCGTTTCCGCTTGCAAATACTGTGTCCGAGCTATGTGTCTACGTCATAATGATTTATTACTTCTTAGAGTCTTACCGGGTCCGGTTGAAGGGTTGACGACATATGAGTCGATTGTTTGTCGCAAACCAAACACCGTACACGCAGAGATGTGACCTATATGATATGTGAGATGTGATAATCAGCTTTATGGGTGAGTCGGCACCAGCCAATCGTTAGCAATGCTTTCAATTCTTCATGCGAAATATACGTCTCCGATTAACCATAAATTATTCGTAGGTACACAATCTCTAGGACTCGTTAGTTTCATATTGAGGAGAGACCTTAACAAGCACTTCACCTTTAGCAGCTTCATTCCACCACCAAAAGGTCTCTCGCCCGCGGATGTGATGCTTATTTTGATGAAAACGTCTAGTTCTTAGACAAAACATCAACCTGGCTATGCTACGTAACATTTAAAGCAATTTATTTGCAATACTTTGAACAATCTGGTATATTTGGGCTTTGCGAAAAATGTCATCAAGTCGCAACGTGGAATTATTACATATTTTTGTGTAATATCAGGTCAAACGTTGTGGTTCACAAGCCCCAGTTTGTCCAAAACTCATATAATGTTTCAAATAACACCGTTAACAAACTAATAACTGGCTTCAAATTGCTCAAAACTTGTCCTTACAGAAGTTTCAAGAAGCTGTTTAGCTATGAGCGTCTGACTCCTAGTTCATTACAGTTACAGCCCTTTGCCGCTGGGCGGACCTCGTCAGCCCTATCACCCAGCGCCATCGTACATTCCAGCTCCATTTTGCGACCGGCACAAACCGTGAAAAATATAAACACGGGCGGACCCGGCCTACCGTGCCAAAACTAGCATGTATTCACAAGCACGCCCAAGCTGCACAGATATTTCGCGGAGAAAGTGTGCCCACTTCTTGCGTTACCGCCCACTGTAGTCTAATGCAGGGCGGGCTGGGCAGTGGGCACTTGTGGACACCTAATGCAGACAATCGGAATTCTTCGCGTCGGGTGATCTGGTATGAAACTGTTTACATTGGCAACATGAACGGCTGGCCGGCTCCTCGTCGCTGTGCTATATCTTTTATTCTTTCTCTCATTATTTCTCGTCATTTAAATTTTAACATTTAATTGATAGTTAATCTCCCCATATCATTTCGTCTAATTAATCATTGTCAGACATTTTTCATTCGTATTCGCCTCCTTTTTCTTGAAATGAATATTCTCCTTGACTTCTTGGATGCTATTCAGCCGATCTCTATTCGTAATTGCACTTTATCTGCCCATCAATGTGTAAGAGGATTGCAATAGGTATGTAATGACGCCCGTAACAATTGAAACTGCAAGTTTTATGTGGACTAGTAGCCATGTGGCAAATGCTCGGCACCGTCAATGGTCACATAAGTAGAAGATTTACCTCGACCAAGATATGAGGAACGGCGTGCATTATAATCATGCGACAGAAATTACATACATCAGTAGCTTTGCTGTACCGTTTTGTGACCATGTTCATTCCTAAATAGAGTGACATGCCTGGGGGGGGGGGGGGGGGCGGGAAACAGTATGATACCAACCAATACCTCTTGCATGATACCGATGTTCATCCGTCTCAATATTGGGACGTGAATCATCCAGTTTTCTTTCATACAATTGCACAGTTATTGACGCACTGCACTGATCGTCATTGATGGTATTGCCCTGTGTTAACTGTTTTACTCCAGTTAGTGCTAGAAGATTGCTCATTTCCGCTATAAGTACATTGTCGACGAGGTGATTACAGCTGAAATTATACCCTAATGATTACTTGTGGATGAAAATCATAGTCTCATGATAATTGTGGATAATCTCTTAACAACCAAGGGCCTCATTAGGCGCCCATTTACAGATTGTTGTTATTTAGCAGAATTAGATGTAGAGTTACAATACAGTTTGACTAGCTCTTCCATACACAATTAGGAGTTATGGAATATACATAGGTGGGCAATGGGCATAGACACTTCAAACCGTTCCCAAAGTGAAGTGGTATAGCAATGGACTCCTGAAAGGGACCATGAATCTCTCCGTCACTCCAGCAAGACTTCTTACTACCTACTTACTAGGATGGTATGGCTAATCCCGACACGCTCGGAAAATTGGCTGTCGTACTGTACGCATACGATCCAGTTTTCAAGGTAATTACGAACAACAACATTTGCTTTTAGGAGCTCAGTTTGTAAGGACGATTCATTATGGATGGGCAGAAATTATACTGTTGTTTTGTCTTTTAAACCGAGATCAATACTTTCATCGCGGTTTGACATGAACTCATTTATCATTGCAAATCCATGCAGTCAATAAAATAGATTGAAGCTCGCTGTAATATTAGATGAAAGCATCATATGATAACTGGCTAGAATTTGCGACGATATTCCTGGGAAGTGGAATGCCTGAAATAACAGGCATGGCATGATGCCGAAAGACGGATCCTAACGATATCAAAATGGCATCAAAATCCATCAAA